AGGTGCTGAACAAGGGGGACTTATGACTGGTCCTTGTAGTTGCAGCCATCGCAGCATCCCTCAGTCACGTGATCGCAATTCAGGCCCTTGGCAACCTGCTTACAATTACAACAGTTGCAGCGTCCTGAGGTCTCGTGATTGCCATTTGTGACTTTCCGTGCCAACTTCCCACAAGCAAAGTCAATAGGGAAGCCAGCAGGAGGTCACTCCTGCTCCCCTGGTTTTTTGCCCACCTGCACGCCATAGTGCTCATCCACAGCACCTGCCCCCACTCCATAGCACACACCTGTGGCACCTGCATGTCCATACTTCATTGTGTGCACCCGCCTGCACTCCATAGCCCTCACCCACCTGTAGTCCATAGTGCCCGCCTGCAGCACCCATCCATGCTGCATAGGGCTCGCCTGTCTGTAGCTCTTACCCACCAACCTGCTTCCTGGACTCCCAACTCTTCCCACTTCACAGTCACATGAGGTCCTTGCTTAATGACATGCATGGTCCTTGGGTTACAACAGCAACAGGGACTGCCAGGATTGCTGTTGCTAAGTGATGTGGTCACGTGATGTCACACTTTATGACCGCATAACTTAGCAATGGAGATTTTGATCTTAGTTGCTGTCATAACCTGGACTATCTGTAGTTTATACTTTCTGATATATATTTCATCTTTTTCATTCATAATTAAGCTTACACTTTCATTTCTGTAGATACACAGTGTTCATCATTATTACTCTACAAGATGAGATCACTTTTATTCAGATTTATTACGTTGTTATCCTTTCTCTTACTTTCACAAACACACAACCATTTTATTTGTTAATTCATGCTCTTTACCATTGACTGTTCTTGGATTCCAAAATGAAACTATCCATATGCCATGATCATCACAGACTGCCTTAAATATTGACCTATGCAAACCCTTATAATTTTGGTCAATTGAGGCTTTCATGTAACATTTTCTAGCAAGATAGAAAAGGATTAAATTAAGTCACAAACCTTGGTTATACCCAGGCCACATGTGGTATTTATTACTATTGGTAAGGACATTACTGGTCACTTTGGGCAAAAATATGCAAGATGCTACAAGCACGAGTGAACTTCATTTTTACCCCAGGCATGCTCATGCTGTTCTATACAAGCTCAGCTATCTAATCTAAAGATTATTTGCACACCAACATATTCTACCAATTAGAAGGTATATGCAGTGTACTGATACACATTAATGGACTGTCGTGAGATCAGGTATTTAAAGGGGAATGATAAGATTACTATATGAATCTTCTCTCATTAGCTGTGAATTCCTATTAATTACAAAAATTATTTACTTTTGTACAGTCCTATTTCATTCCAAATGTTCTGTGTTCACATAGTAAACCCTGTTTTAGTTCATAGTTGATTGCATTGATGTATGATAAAATAATAGCATCCACCTGTCAATCTAGTATTAAGTAAAAATATTGTCTTTAGCGTCATATAATCAAATTTTCATATTTTCTCCTAACTATCTGAAGAATATACATTTCTTTTCTTGTGGAGTCCTTGGTACTCTCTGAGCTAGGTTGTTTGCTTCCAGATGTTTCATTATCTGACTAGGTAACATCTTCAGTACGAGTGAGGGTGGGTTTGCTCCCTGTTTATATACAGTAGCTTGCCCTACCAGTTTTGGTGGGAGTGTGGTTTTCTCTTTGGTAGTTCCTTGGTTAGGGTATTGTTTTCTTCTTGATTGTTTGTTTGGTGTTAATCCCTGCTTATCTAGGTGTTGGCTGCTAGAGGATGTGTTCTGGTCTTTTTGTTCCTTCTTAGCTTTTT